CATAGAATCATAGAATTTTTTTTTCTCGATCCCACTGTCTGTGTCATTGATGAAGATATTAAACAGTACTGGTCCCAATACGGACCCCTGCAGGATGCCACTCGTCACCAATCTCTGGTTTTGGTTGTTTTCTAAACTAAAAATCCCTTTCAACAAGAGCGTGCATATATGTTCACATTTGCATCTGGGGTACACTTTTCTTTAAGCTAAAATGGAAACAAGCCTACTTGGGTACTATTGTTCACCGAAAGTAAAGCAAAGAGCCAATGACTACTGGAGTGAATGCAAACTTTTCTCCCATGCAGTTCACTTCTCAGCATTCGTTCAAAATTTTCAAAGTGATTCAACTCTGTCTTCTTAGGGACAAAGCAGTCCTGTTGATACTCAGCCACGTTCTTGTCTCCTCAGCCATCCCAAAGAGATCATACCAGTTTCTCTAGGAAGCTTCTGGAGCTGTTTTTGATGACTATTATTACTGTTTACCTTCAGCTGTTCCTTCCTGGATCCTGCCTGGGTCAGCACCTTGCTCCCTCTTTGCTGGTGTTTCTTTGTAGCAAGGCTCCCTCCCTTCCTAATCCCCGAAGCCTTTGAAGTAAACAGCTCTTTTTTGGGTACACTTGCTCTGTTATTGAACTAAAGCTTCCCCTGTGTGAGCTCTGCTGGGCCAGCCAACTCGGCAGCAAGTGCAAGGCACAGGGGTTTCATGCTGTTTCACACTGATGTCTCTTTCACAGGAGTTATTCAGCGCTGTACTGCTGTGAAGTACCACTACACCTCCAGCTCTCTGCCTCGCAACTTACCCATTAACATCACGAACACCATCCGGCAGGATGAGTGGCATGCGCTCCGTAAGTAACCCAAAGCAGTGTATAAGACTGTTGGATTACTTAATGCCTTAATGCAATGTCTAGTGAGGGCTCTGAATCAGCTAGCTGTCACTAGGCTCTAAGCATAAATACATATTGGTTATTGAGGAAGGGCAAGCAGCTGACAGTATAATTGGAAGGGGACACGAGATTTGGAGGGGCTAAAGCAGTGAATTCAGGAATTCAGGCATGTGTGTAGTGTGTTGCAAGGTGTAATTGTATTCTGGATCTGGGGACAGACAATTCCTAGCTGGCTTACAGCAAAGGTGCTGCATCACCGTGTATAGAGCTTGTTGCATTTTCCTGCGTGCACAACCAGTGACCTGGTGCAGCTCCCTGGCAACCAGCTCTTTTAGGGAACTTCTCAGTTTGTCTTTGCAACCTCCTGTTACCACCTCCTGGCCCACAAGCTGCCTCATGGCCAAGTCCTTCCCACACAGATGACTGACCTGTAGCCTGTCACTGAGACGGATTTGTTTTTTTTTCTGCTCCTGCTTCTCTCTCTGTTTTCTTGTTCTATTGTCTCACATAATTCTGCCTAGCCCCTGTCATGTGAGTCTCAGTGCTGAGGAAATCCAGCTAGAGACTGAACTAGGAAGAGACAAGAACAGCACTTGTATTATGGATGACAAAGTGCTGTTCATATCACTGGTGCCCAAGCTTTTTTTTAGCACTTGTTACTGGAGTTGTTCCCGTCATACTGTATTGATCTGCTGTCTGCTTCTGTCCTCCCACTATTCCTCTTTCCAGTTCACACTACTATCTGCCTTCCATGCGCTTAGTCCTTTACTTCGCTTCAGTGTCCCCTCTCACTTCTTTTATTTCTATTTATTTTCAGCAGACATTCACCCAACAAACTCCATCCCAAAGAAACGCACCACAAAACAAACAAACAAACAAATAAAAGCCCTTGCAGTACTAACATTTACAAATCGTTGCCGAATTCATAATGCACCCCTTCTGTCCCATGTTGGGGAATATTTGGCCAGTATTCCTCTTGATAAGGACAGAAATGCTCTCTAGTTGCACAGTGCCCAGCAGAAGGGAGTCGTTAGCTGGATTCCCTTGGTTTCAGTGTAATGGGCAGTCTACCTCAAAGAAGCTACAGGAGTCGTCGTCCATGGGTGAAGTATAAACTTTAGAATCAGCAAATCTAAATCTGTCTGGACTCTCTCCTGGCTGTCCTGTCTGGGTGCCGCCACGTTCACGTCTTCTTTCTTGCTTTTCTCCTTTCTCTTTCCTCAGATCTGCGGAGGATGACAGCTGGCTTCATTGGCATGGCAGTCTCCATCATCCTGTTTGGGTGGATCATTGGTGTGCTGGGCTGCTGCAAACAGCAGGAGCTCATGCAGTACGTGGCTGGGCTGCTCTTCCTAATGGGAGGTGAGAGCCTTTCACTTCTACTCCTGAAGTCACCACAGTCAGTATTGCTGGCTGGGGAGGTGCTCTTAGAAGTAAAGTCAACCCACAGCAAACACACGAAGCAACTCTTTAGTGCAGCAAACCATCAGCACAGCGTAGAGTTACCACTTCCAGCACTGGACAGGACCTGTGCTTGCATGGGTATGTGCACGTCTCTGAGTAGACCCTGCTGTATGTACGCATGAGCCTTCTGCTCTGGAGAGCTGGTGTGTAGCCACAGGGACCGTGTGCACAATGAGCACAGTCCTCTTGCCTGCTCTGTGTGGAGCCTGTGGTTCCTGTCAGGCAGCTCAGCTCAGTTTTCCCTAGGGAATCTTAACAAAGAAAAAAAAAAATCAATGATGTAAAGCACCTTTCTGCTGTTCAAAGAAGATGTTCACACCTTTGGGTAAAACAATGAAGTCCAAACCCAGCCAAGCCTGGAGAACATTGGCCCAGTGGTAAGGACATGAGCTCAGTGCTTGCCCAGGGTGTTACATCTGTTCCTCCTGGCTGGGAGCAGACGTTCTGCATGGCCAAAGGTTTTTCTGAACTTTGATTGTTCAGCTGAAAAAACGGGCAGTGTTTTGTCTTTATTTGAAAGGGGCATAGTAGCAACAAATGCACCAAAAGGGTGAGCTCCTGAGATGCTGCAAGGATGGGGATTCTTAAATTGCAAGCAGTAAATAGGCAACTTTCAAGTATGAAAAAATGAGACTCTACTTAAAAGCCAGAGCTGCTACCCTAGAGGCCCAGTGTCAGAATCTATAATGGATGCAAGCAAGGAACTTGGTGACGTAACAGCATCTGTATCAATTAAAGTAGGTGTGACACTGGTTTGGTGCCATTTTTTTAGGGAGGACGGGGACAGAAGAATATTCCCTTGCCATAAGTGAGCCTTCTCAAGGAGTGTTTTTTTTGGGCAGCTGCACAGAAAACCACCCTGCTGAGATGGCATGATGCTAGAAAGGCTGGAAGTTAGGCTTGTGCTGTCCTTGATCATCTTACGTGCTGCTTAACTGCAGTTTCCTTTGGGAACATTTTCATTTCTTTATTGCACAGCAGTGAGAGAGTAAAGTATTATAAGTAGAACAGGTAGACTAGATCCCCTTCGAGTGCTTCTGCACTTACCGTCATGATGGGCATGCTGTCAGCACTAAGAGCTGTCGTCAGTATTTAGACACAGAGCCAGAGCTGGCGAGAATAAAATGATCACCTTGAGTCCAGTGTACTAGTGTATATCAGACATACTGGAGTGCCTTGCGTTATAAGGTTCTTTGGCTTTTTTGCTCCTCTATATAGGTGCTTAGTGAGCGTGTAGCGGATGACAAAAACCTGGGCACTTTCTATGGGCCTAGGCTACAGCTGGCAGGAGTCTGGATGTTCCTAGCAGAAACCAAGCAGTGCTGCACTTCACAGCCCTGGGCTTCATTTATTTACCTTGCATAGGAGATACTGCCCAAGTACCGTCCGGAACCCGGTGACATTAGTCATTGGAAATAAATAAAGTCTCAGGAGAAGTGAAGCATGACATGTGACTGAGTTCAAAATAGCAACAGAGAGCGCTAAGGCAATATTGGTTATTTCTGAAGTGAGGTATCCTGTAGTCCTACGTATTTTGCCTTTTTTTTTCCCCCTGCCTTGTAAGAAAGTGACTGATAGGACTACGAAAAAAAAAAGGGTAACTTGATCTTGAAAATTCATAACTTCGAAAATCCCAGAGCATAATTAACCTGTCTGAGGGCATTGTAGAACCCTCTTGCTTTTCTCCTGCAGGTACATGCTGTATCATCTCACTCTGCACATGCGTAGCTGGGATCAATTTTGAGTTATCTCGCTATCCTCGCTACGTCTATGGGCTGCCAGAGGACATCAGTCATGGCTATGGCTGGTCCATGTTCTGTGCCTGGGGAGGCCTGGGCCTTACCCTGCTGGCTGGGTTCCTCTGCACATTGGCCCCATCACTCAACACTTCTCGGGCATCTGTACAAAAACCCAGACAAGAAAATGGGGCTGTGTGACCTCAGAGGGAGTGAGGAGAGACTCTGGAAAGCGCAGCCTGGGCAGAGCTGTGGGTTAACACCAGGAAGAAGTGGCACGTCAGCGTGTGGAGAGCAGTGCCATAGCTGTGGAAATACCAGCCCATGGGATGCTGCTACGGCCTCCAGTCGTGGATAAGGACATTGCAAGTAACTCCAGGTTTGAATTATTGCCGATTTGCTCATTGATGGTTTAAGGGGAACAGTTCTTTTGATTTGTTTTTCTTCTGTTTACAAGGGATTAAGTCCAAGGCTGTGTCTTTTTTTGTGCTGTTTTTTGAACTGTACCTCCATGGTCCTGTTATTGTCCAGTTGTAAGGGATGTTTACGCACCAACTCTATTGCTGCAGGTCTGTGTAATTCAGACCCAAATTAGGGCAAGGAGCTACATGAAGTTGGCTTGAACACTTTTGCAACAGGCATGTCTAGTGTTGGCTCAGGCCATCATTTCCCAAAAGAACCTTGATCTAAGCCGAGGTTTAGGCCAAAGAATTAGCCCATTCTTAGTATTAATTCATTTAGATCAGAAATCTGTGCTATTCCATGCTGCAGTATCAGCTATTTACTCACTACTAAAGCTGTTTCCAAAAGGAGCTGGCTGTAACTGAGCAGCAAGACTCTAAAAAAACTCTTACTGGCTTTAGGAAAGGAGGGGAAAGTTTTCCTCAGCTTCTTACACAGGTAAGGTTACTCATTTGGTGAACATACCCTTGTTTTAATGGGGAGATGTATGCAACATGCAGCTGATAACTACTCCACTAGAGGCCAGGGTATGTTTCTGAAAGTATGTCATAGTTTGAGCTGCCGGGATCAACTTTCACCCCCGAACTAACTTGTGGGTGCAACTCCTGTTCTGTGAAAGGAGATGAGTAATTCTCCCCAAGCTCAAATAGCAGTACTGCTAAAATAGCAGAAGATGTACAGCCCCCTCGAATATTAACGTCCAAAGGAACCGCAATGTATTTTCCTCAGGAACGCGTGGCTTCTGCTCACTTCACCGCTCACCCCTTTCTAATGTCAAATGCCCCCTGAGCATAGCATGTCAAGAACACACATGCTCCGCTGGAACAAGCTCCCTCTCCAAAATGAGCAGTAGGGACCTTGGAACCAGTGCAAGTACTAGGGCTAACTCAGGAACATCAGCCAAAGTACTTTGGGGTGCATTTTTCTTTCATTCATCTATTCTTTCTTCCCTCACATCCCCGCCCCTCTCCCAAGTGTCCAAAAACTGCACAGGTAAAGATGAGATGGCCAGCATTTGGAGATGTTTACATTGTATTTAAAATACAATACAGTGGCATGTAAGATACTTAATGCTAAAGTCAGTGTATTTATGAAAAGTGTAATTTTTAAATGGAAGTTGTAATTCTCAACTGGCATTAAAAGTACTGAAAGACTTGCTCAGTGGATGAAACCTTGAATTCTTTCTGACTAATTACCAGACTGATTCACCAGAGCTCACATACACATCAGCAATGGTGTTAAAGCTTCCAGAGTTAAGTTTAAACAACAAAGTTAAAACCTCATTCATGTGTGAATCGTGTTCACTTCTCCCTTGCAAAATGAGTGTTAGTTCAAAAGTTTCAGAGCCTCTAACAAAGCTGTACAGTCTGTTCACTGGCTGCACGCGTAAAAACAGGGGATGCTGTGTGAGCTGCCGATCATCAGTTTCAAAGTACACTTACTGCAGTATAACCTGTTGGTCCTCATCCAGAAGTAGCAGAGCAGGATTTAATCCAGTTCTAGCAGCAGGAGGCTCCAAAGGCAGCATGATGGGCACCGTGGAGAGGAGGTTCTCACCTTCCCTTTTGCAGATGTAGAACCACCGAGCAAGGGCGACAGCCCCAACACATCACGGATTTGTTTTTAGAGGGAAAAAAATGCTTTATTTTTTCCAGACAGAAAGTAAGTGGTACAGTCCAGTCTAGTCCTGTCCTCTGCCAAGGCCACAACCTTAACTGGGCAGAGATCAGGCATAGTACTGCAGATTGGCTTTTTTCTTTGCTTGAACCTCCAGGATTCCTTCCATGTAGTCCTCGTGGGTGAGCTCTGTAGCTCCACGGCGGAGGGCAATCATCCCCTGCCCAACAAGACAGTATTTAGAGAGGGCATGTGAGCACCACATCAGTTCAAAGTAATTACTCCATGCTAGCTTTCACATCTCCCTCCTGTCAGTGCTGGCTGCTGTAGAGCAGTACTTACCGCTTCGACACATACAGCCTTGCACTGGGCTCCATTGAAATCATCTGTGCAGCGAGCCAGTTCCTCATAGTTCACATCAGGGCTGATACGAGCGGGAGGGGGGAAAAAAAAAGTCTGAGAACATGTACCAAATAGAAAAACCAAGGTATGGAGCTTCCTTAAAACCCAACAGTGAGCTCTCAACAAAAGAGAGCGCCTACCACTCCACAGCCCTGAGGTACCGTCATGACTGACAAACACAGCCCCAGGCGGCCATGCCTCATCCATACCTGACATTCATTTTGCGTGAATGGATCTGCATAATTCTGGCTCTGGCCTCCTCATTAGGCATCGGGAACTCAATCTTGCGATCTAATCGTCCAGAGCGGAGCAAAGCTGGGTCCAAGATATCAACCCGGTTGGTTGCAGCAATCACCTAAGTAGAAGTAGGGTCATCAGTCTGAGGCACCTGGAGGACAGGCCTCTCCTCCCCAAGGATCCACCAAGCTTCTTCCCTGGACATTGTTTTCTATCCCCTGCTAGAGTACCCTGGACCTCAGTAGCACTCTCTGCTAGATCCCAACCTTGACTTGTGTGTTGGGCTGGAAACCATCAAGTTGATTAAGCAGCTCCAGCATGGTCCTCTGCACCTCCCGATCACCAGCCTTCTCACTATCAAACCTGAGGAGGAAACAAGGGTAAAACTATCAGTGTGAACCTGACCACCCTGCCCCTATGTTTTTAATCACATAAAAAGACAGAATGACTGCAGTTCACACTCCTTAGCCAAGGTCTTCCAAATTCCTCCTTGAAACTACAGGAAGTCCTACCGTGATGAGGACTGTGACTAGAATAACTGTCAGCAGCAGCTAAGTCTTATTATGTCCTTAGAGCTGAATGGGGCTAATGTTGTCCAGGCCCAAGTAGTAAATGAGGGTAAACATCTCCATGTGCCTGATGCAGTTATCAGAAAACAGTTTTATACAGCAGGAGACCATCAGATAGATCCTGAGTCTCACGAACTTTGCTCATGAGCCCAAGGTTTGTGGCAACTGCTATCTGTGATTAGCTTTACACTCTGTTTCTGAATAGGCCACGCTTTAAGCTAAGCTTCCCTCACATACACAGGCAAAGGGGGCTGCTAGGCAGCTCCCAAGAGCTTTGCAACATGGCCTGCACCTCACCTTTTAGTGCCAATGGCATCCAGTTCGTCAATAAAGATGATGGAAGGAGCTTTTTCCTTGGCTAGAGCAAAAGCATCGCGTACCAGCTTAGCTCCATCACCAATGAACATCTGCACAAGTTGCGGACCCGCAAGCTTCAGGAACGTAGCCTGGGAAGTGAAAGAGAATCCTATGCCTCATTTCTCAATAGGGTCAGTTCTGAGTACTGCAAGAAGCCCTTAATTAAAACAAGCAAGCAGACAAGAAAATCCCAGCCTTTGTAACATCAGTTTGTGTGTATGACCCCTCTTCCCCTTGGTGGTGTTCTTATTCCTTTTCAGGTACTATTCTACAGCAGCACACACTTTGAAAGGTTCCTTTTACCTTGGTCTGGGCAGCACATGCTCGAGCTAAGAGCGTCTTCCCTGTTCCTGGAGGCCCATACATAAGGACTCCTTTGGGCGGCTGTATACCCAAGTTTTCAAATTTCTCCTTATGATTCATTGGCAGGACAATGGCCTCCACGAGCTACAGCAAAAGAAAAATATTAACACATAAACCCATTCTACTCCACAGATCCAGGCTGCCTGCTTTGAGCTGAAGTTCAAAGACTGTTGTCCTCAGTCAGACCAGAAACTAAACATAAGGTATCACCTCTTGGATTTGTTTATCCAGCCCCCCGATGTCACTGTACTGCTCTGTGGGTCTCTCATCCACCTCCATGGCTTTCACCCGTGAATCGTATTCCGTAGGTAGAGTCTCCAGGATCAAGTAAGAGTCTTTGTTCACTCCCTGTAAACACAAGTCCTTTGCTTTTAACAGGCCCTTCAGATAGCTATTAGTAAGAACGCAATCAAAGGTGATTCACTAGACCTCAAGGACGCAGGACCAGCTTTGACGCTGGCACTCATCAAATCACCACAGCTTGGCACAGTGGACAACGCCACAGCTAACCTAGCACATTTTAAAAGGAAGGGGCCCAATTTACTTATAATACAAAAGACTGATTTTAGAAAGCTTACTAGGTGATATCTAAATGTTCAGCACCCAACTGTACGTATAAAGACCCCTTCCAACTACTTTTCTATACTACAGATATGACTGAGCCCATAATACCTTTTTATTAAAGTTTTAGTACAGAAATGGTCTTGGAGAAATCTGCACAGATTTGTCTCCTTTCTAAAAGGCAAGACATATGTCATTTTCTGGCCAACGTTATATCTGAGAATCACAACAGTATCACTCACCACTAGGTCTCCAGGCTTCAACTTCTCAGCATCAACCAACCCAATAACAGGCAGGAAATATGTCTGTAGGAAAGGGATCAGAGTAAGCAAAACCAGCCGTACTAGGACAAGGTCCTTTTCAGCACTCCTCGCACCTAGCTGGGCACATGGGTCCTACCTGGCGCGTAGAGGTCTTGATCACAGCACACTTGCCCTTTCTCTGGGAATCCAGGTCAATGTTTGCTCCATCCTCCTCCTGGTCATTGGGGTCAACATCCAGCAGCTGAAAACCAGAGCGAGAGATTTCATGATAATGTAACCAGGCTAGCAGGATGACGCCAGGATTAACGCTTCTAAATTACATGCAGTAGGAGAAATAAATCTTCCCATCATCCATCAGCAGTAGAATCCT